CTGTCTCTGAGATTTTTTCTTACGTATTATCTTAGCGTGCTACTCTTTGGAGGAGGACACAGTGTGTCTACCAAACCTTCCCATTGCTCCTATTGGACGTCCTCTTTTTGCACCTCCTAAGGCTCCTCCCTGGCCCTTCTCATCCCCAGCCCCCGTGTAGTCAGCCTCATTTATTCTCCTAGTAATTGTCCTCATCATTAGCCTTTCCTCCTCACAGAGTGGTCATCATCAAAATGTAAAGTATTATTTAATTTAATACTATTATTTAATTTAATTATTAAATAATAATTATTAAATAATTTATTAAATAACAATAATTATTAAATAATTATTAAATAACTATTAAATAATTTAATATTATTAATTAATTTTTTAAGATGAAGTCTTGCTCTGTCACCCAGGCTGGAGTGCAGTGACCTGATCTGGGCTCACCACAACCTCTGCCTCCCAAGTTCTCCTGCCTCAGCCTCCTGAGTAGCTGAGATTACAGGTACTCACCACCAAGCCCTACTGATTTTTTTGTATTTTTAGTAAAGATGAGGTTCCATCATGTTGGCCAGGCTGGTCTCGAGCTCCTGATGTCAAATGATCTGCCCACCTGCCTCTGCCTCCCAAAGTGCTGGGATTATAGGCATAAGCCACCAGGCCCGGCCAAGACTTTATCTTAATAGGTTTCATTATTATTTAGGGATGGCATGACCAATGGTCTTAGGCCATTCCACCTGCTATAATAAAGATACCGTAGACTGGGTAGCTTAACTTTCATTTCTCACAGTCCTGGAAGCTGGAAATCCAAGACGAAGGTGCCAGCAGATTTGGTGTCTGGTGTTCACAGATGGCTGTTTTCTCACTGTGTCCTCAAGAGGCAGAAGGAGCGAGAAACTTCTCTGGAGTCTCTTTTGTAAAGGGCACTAACCCCATTCATGAGGTCTCCACCCACATGACTTAATCACCTCCCAAAGGCCCCACCTCCTAAGACTATCACACTGGGGGTTTGGGTTTCAACATATAAATTTTGGGGGAACAAAAGCATTCAGAGCACCTGAGGACCAACAGATCAGGAGACGACAGCCACTGAGAAGGTAGTACAGCCACTGAGAATGGCTATACTCCAAGATCCCAAGAAAGAGAGTGCACATCATGTCACAGGCCACATATGGAGGCACTGGGATGAGTCCGAAGGACGAGAAGGGAGTACTGTGGGCAAGAGCCTCTACCGTGGCTCCTGCAGGAAGGAACAGACACGCAGAGCAAGCAGGTGTAGGTCTGGCTGGTTTGAATGATTTCAGTGACTCTGGGGCACAGGGGCTGTCCCTAATTGTCTGATTCCTGACCCAGAGGTGTTTAGGGCAAGTGGACAGTGGCCCAGAGTGTGAGAGCCTGGTAGAGAAGGTGCTTAGGGGTGTGAGCTGTGGATTGGTTGGTTTTGTGTATTTGAAAAAGCTGTGCATTTGAAAAACGTGCCCTAGGAGGAGGACTCCCACCAAGAAGTGTGGGGAGGTGACAAGGGAGGCAGAAAGGCAGGGCAACTCAAGGTTATTATGAAATTGTCCAGAATGAGATGTGCTTAGCATATTCACGTACGGTGAGTGTTAAAGCATTAAATTCACAGAAGCTAGAAACGGGGCTAATGCAACGCTGAAAGTCTAAACGTGCCTGGCAGTTTCTTTGGAACCCACCACCCCAATTTGCAACAGACACCTTAGAAGACACCTTAAGAGGGTCTATTCTTTCATCGGGATCCTGTTCACTGAAACTTTTCAGATCCCTCCTTCCCAGCAAACTTAGGTGTAAGTAGCAGAGGGACTCCTCCTAGAATCCAGGTAGAGCAATGTGTTGATTCGTACCAGTGTATTTGTGCCACGGAAACAGACGTTCCTCTGAAAGGTCCCCAGGACATCACCTGAACATGGATGTAGGGATGGAATCCTTGAAATTACAGATGGGCAGGCACACTAATAAAGGAGGTATTTTAAAGAGGAGAAGAAATCTGTGGAGGAGATACTGTCTGTATCACACTAGGAGGGCAGCTACCTGTAGTCCAGGCCCTGGCTGTACAATTTTTATAATCATCAAGAGCATATATAAGATTTCTGGGTTCTTTTTCTGTTTTTTGCTTTTCTCATTATTATTATTGTTATTTTTTGATACAGGATCTCCCTCTGTCACCCAGGCTGGAGTAGAGTGGTGTGATTTCTACTCACTGCAGCCTCCACCTCACAGGCTCAAGCAATCCTCTCACCTCAGCCTCTCGAGTAGCTGGAACTACAGATGCATGCCATCATGCCCAGCTAATTTTGTGTGTGTGTGTGAAGACTAGGTTTTACTATGTTGTCCAGGCTGGTCTCAAACTTTTGGGCTCAACTGATCCTCCCACCTCGGCCTCCCAGTGTTCTGGGATTACAGACATGAGCCACTATGCCCAGCTGAAGCTTCTGATTAAATGTGGCATTCTCCTACACAAAAGTTACAGCCCAGTCATCAAGATACACATTCTGCCTTCCAGGACTCTTACGAAAGAAAGAGATGAAGAGTGAGAGTGAGAGAGAAAAATTGCACATGTAGACTACACAGTACCCTGCAAAGAAACTTGGTCTAAACTGCTCCAAAGGATGGGGGAACAAATGTTTGTGGAAAATACAAGAATATGCATTTCAGATAAGTAGAAGAAAGAATTTTCTAATCTTAACTACCCCAAAATGAAGCAGGCTTCCTCACTAATGAGTGAGTTTCACATCTCATTATGCAAGAACAGTTGAGCTAGCACAGCACATCAAGAACAAACAGCAGACATGGCTAGAGTGGAGGTGGGAGCACACCGAACAACTTGGCCCAGAGCAGCAGGGAGGTGGGTGCAGGGAGGCCTGAGGGAAGTCGCTGAGGCCACAGCAACAGAAAATCCCAAATTGATTCATGGAGGCAGTTAGGCATTCCCAGATCAACTCATCTGGACAATGGAATGAAGTACGGGACTGTTCATGGGATTGAAACTCAGGTACGAGCGAGTGAGGACTGGAGCAGCCTGATTCTCGTATTAATGTGGAGGTAACAATATCCATTTACATAGACTGGTAAAATTTGGAGGCCATTTGGATAATAATAAATATGATTATTTATATTTACTATAGCAGACACAGGCAGTAGAGACACAGGTAGTAGAGACCCAAGTTGCTGGTATTCAGTCACTTTTAGGCTTGTAATTTTTGTTTTCAAAATTGACTAGCTTGCATGGTTTACATCACCTGCCATGGGATGTCAGTGGCAGAGCTGGAACACCGACCGATCACTACAAACTGGGGACTGCTGCAGCTCACAGGAGGGAGGAGAATAGATGGGAGCTGTGGGACTCCGGGGACTGGACTTGCTGAAAGTTAGCAGAAAGTGGATTTGAATTTAATATGAAAAGCAGTGTTCAGGCAGTTGGGTCTGTCTCGCAATGGAACGGGCCCACTTGTGTGGTCAATGGAAGTCCCCCTGGTCAGCCCAAGTACTCCAGCAGGCTCTGTACTGACAGAGGGGGAGCGAACTGCTTCTCAGCATCTTTCTGCCTCTCAGGCTTTTCTCTTTTTAACACCAAGGCTGACATGGATGGCGATGTGTTGTCCACATCATCTTCCTTCGAGCAGAACTGTAGCATTTCAAACAAGCTCTGTTAGGTTGTCAGTGCTCTAAATTTATGAAGCTACCTTCAGTTGGAGCTGTCACAGCCTCTCTTCAGCAATTTATGCTAATATCAAATGCTCATTATCCTGTTACATTGATATTTAATTGCATTTTTTGTTCCTCATGAAGACTAGCTGATACCCACCATCATTAATATCCAAATGTTAGTTTATCATAAACTCTCCTTTATTCACCCAATTTAAATTGAGTGATTGGCCTGGTTGTGATTAGCATTCTTCTACTCTTCACTCTCCGGGGCTCCTTTAAACAGAACAGGTAGCAGGAATATAACAAGAACATGCACCATTTTTCAAGAGGCATCTCAATCTATCTATTCTCAGTCCAGAGCTCCTTTACCTATAGAGCTCTGGAGTATGAATAGACAAGTTGAGATGTGAATTATTTAAAAGTCGGGGCAGGTTAAGGACTGCTCTCCAGCAGGCAGAACCTAAGAAGGCCCCTATTGGCAAGAAGGCTACAACCTCTGACTGCTTTGAAAACACTGAGCTGAGACCTGACACTGAACTGTGCTTGCATAAGGAGGAGACACGCTGGGGGCAGGCATGCCCCTTCCTAAAGCTGGGTAAGAACAGGCAGGTCCCTCCCTCACAGAGCCTCTGCCTGTGGTTCTGGATTTGCCACACCCTATGGCACACAGGCCAGCATTGCAGAGCCATGGATGGCTATCGGTGCCAGAAGGGTGGGCCCTCAGAAATCACGCATTCTCCTCTGGACCCTGGAGATGAGTGTTTATTGCCCTGGAGCGACCTGTAGAGCCAATTAGCAAGAGGAACAAGTTTGGGAAGCCAGTGTGGTCTGCTCCCCGCAGGCAACTCGACTCACAGAGCATGCCCATCTCCCCCAGGAAGTATCCGATGCTCTTGTGTTCCTTGGGAAAGTGATCTTGTTATATGCATGCTTTCGTGCCACTGATTCAAGCCACAGCTTAAATCCATCAAAAAATGTTTAGCTAAAAAAGTTCAAAGTATGGTTTATGGAAGTCCTACTTAAACCTGAGCCAGCGATGGATTAACAACTGCAGAGAGACTAGGAAGTGTTTCCGAGTCTACTCTTTAGAGCAATTTCTATTTCCAAGACAGAGAAGAGTATTTTTAAAAAATAGAGAGGCATGATCTCTTGCTCCTGCCCCCAAAGTAACTCCAGGTAAAACTCTCCCCATTTGCCTGGATGAGAAAAACATGTTTAATACGGTTATACAAATGTGATTTCCTCACTGGCGAATATCACATTTTTGTGGGTTTGCAAAAAATAAAACTGCTTTTCCTTTTGGCAGAAAATTGCTTATGAAAAGGAAAGGCGGTTTTGGTTTTTGGTACTTTCTTTCTCAAGCAGGACATGGTTTTTTCAGTGGTGAGAAACCACCTCTGTGATACACACGGTCAATTTTCCCCTGCAACTAAATCAGTTTCACACTAGATTTCCCATTTGGACAAGGAAAGCCAGCATTTACCTGGTAAACTGGTAAGAAGTTATCCCAAACCAAATTCCCCAGCATCGATAAAACTGTCAGTCATGGAGAAATTTTTGCTATGAGCCAGGAACCACAGGACATTAACCCTTTTGCAATAAAATAGATGAAAAATAATTCAAATCCTCGAACTCAGGGCAAACTAAGTCCTCTCGGAGCCCAACTGCCCTGGTGGCCAGGCAGGCTCTAAGAGATTCAACCCTTAGCCAAGCCACAGGACAGCGCTCACTCTCTTCCCCCGCAACACTTAAGAAATCCCCGGGTGAGATGACGGGTGATGAGTAAAAACCTGTTCAGAACAAACGATCCTTTATCATACATGGATTTGCCAGACGTTTTGCTTCTCCCATATTAAATTTTTGTTTCCATGGTCACCTTTACTCATTAGGGCCTTCCAGGTGAAGAAGACCCTTTGACATCGGTGAAATTTTCTATTTCACAACCTTCTAGGACACCCACAGTAACAATGAGCGTTCTTTATGCATGCCACCATTTTGCTGTGATGTTGACCTGGAAGTCAGTGGGTATGATCTTGCTGCCTCAAGTTACTGGCAATCTCTGGGGTGCTAGCTTTCTTCTCCATACAATGAGGGTAACCAAGGAATTGCCTCTGACAAGGGAGCTTGATTTCAAAGTCTGCACATAAAGCAAAACAACACCCGTATTATCAATATTGCACTTGAAAATCTCCAGCTTGGAACAGATCTATTTCTTTGAACACCAAATGAAGATGGTGCTTGGATTCAGGGGCTACATTAAAGGGTGCTGTGCATGTCTCTTTCCTCTAGGTGAAGCACTTATCCTCTGAGAAGTACAAGGGAAGGAAGACCCCAAGGACACAGCTACCTCACAGCTCAGGCTGAGGCAGGGACTCACTGAAGGGGATGATGCCATTAACTCCTGTCCTTCCTCCTCCCAGCTCACCTACCTTCACTGGTAAAGATTGCTTATGAAATTCACTAAGTAGATGTGCATATATATGACATGATATCATATTGTTTATTCATGTGAGATAACAGTGATGATGGAAGCTACTTATTTGTCTTTCACAGGTTGGAGCAGTGAGGTTCCAAGAGGCAGGGCTGAGATAGGTGATGAAGAGACCCATGTTCCTTCCCTAGCCGATATGACTTCTACAGGAGCATGTCTGGTCTCAGGCTGAATGCAGGAAGAATGGTGAGACTCCAAATCGGCCCACGTTGAACGGTCACTCTGCTGGGCATAGAATGAGGCACCGCTGCACACATTCCATTTAAAGGTTTTGTTCTCACTGTGGAAAACCAATGGAATTTATCACTTGTAACCATTGTAACCACTGTCGTAGGCTTTGGTGCATTTTCAAAATGTAAGCATAACAAAATGCTTCTGGCTTCTGGGTTTATTAGTGAATATATCACATCAATATAAGATGCATTTCCATGCCTGTACCACTAAACACCTTTCCAATTACTTGGCAATTAAGAGCCTTCATCTTCACTCTCTGGCCTGAGACCTGTCAGTATTTTTAAGTGCTTTCATTTTCAGTGTTATTTATAATTACAAAAATCCTAACTAAATCTAACTATGAGAGACTTACAAAATAAGTTATGATGAGCAAATACAATAGGATACAGGTACTGATTTAAAAATCAGACTGTATAAGACAACATAAACAGTATACATTGAAGTTGACAACATAAACATTATGCATTTACTTCTATAAATTTCTTCGAAATATGTGTAGTATGTGTGTTTTAGTCTTTTTTGTGCTGCTGTATGAGTACCTGAGGCTAAGTAATTTATAAAGAACAGACATTTCTCAGTTCTTGAGGCTGGGAAGTTCAAGATCAAGGTTCTGGCATCTGGTTAGGGTTTTCCTACTCCATCTTCACATATTGAACACTGTCTGGTCTTCTCACAGCTCAATGGACTATAATAAGTCACTGCTGCTGTCATGCCCTGGATAGTTTAGACCCCCCACACAGGGAGCTGTGGTGCCCCCGAGCTGGGCTCCAGGTTTCAGTTGGTCTTACTCACAGGCTCAGCCTTTGTTCCCTCTTCCGGGATGTTGGAGATGACGGTATCTGGCACATTCTGAGCTAAATACAAGTTTCACTCATGAACCCTGGAACTCTGAGTTGAGTCTCACTTGTTTAACGGCTGCTGAATAGTCTATTATGCAGACATATGACAATTTTTTTTTTGAGACAGTCTCACCCTGTTGCCCAGGCTGGAGTAAGGTGACGCAATTTCAGCTCACTGCAACCTCTGCGTCTTAGGTTCAAGCAATTCTCCTGCCTCAGCCTTCCAAGTAGCTGGGATTATAGGCACTTGGCACCACACCTAGCTAAGTTTTGTATTTTCAGTAGAGACAGGGTTTCGCCATGTTGGCCAAGCTAGTCTTGAATTCCTGACATCAGGTGATCTGCCCACCTCGGCCTCCCAAAGTGCTGGGACTACAGGCGTGAGCCACTGAGCCCGGCCAGCTTCCTCCTCTTATCTGACATGAAGGGCTTTTATTTCTATTTTTTCTCTAAAGTGAATAATTATAATGAACATCTTTGTTCATATATCTTTGAACACATCTCTGACTACTTTCTAAAAATAGAATTACTTGGCAACAGTGGCTGAACATTTTAAAGCTCTTTTACACGTATTGTCAAATTTTTTAGTAACATCTTCCAGAAAATCATATATAAGAGTATCCATCTCACCCAACCTCTTATCGGCGTTCAATTTTTGCATAAAAAGCAAATCTTGCTAACTGGATATTTTGACCTGCATTACTTAATTTTGGATATAAAAATACATTTGACAGCTTTATGTGTTTCCTTTTTCTATGACTTTTGTGCTCCTGAGTAAAGGTAAACTTTTTCTGTGCCTATATAACTGGGGAAATTCAGGTTTATCTGAGTACCCCAGTCAGCACTCCGAAAAGAGGAAGGCACTAAATTCCTCACATTCCTATTTCTCCACATCCTCTCCAGCATCTGTTATTTCCTGACTTTTTAATGATCGCCACTCTAACTGGCATGAGATGGTTACTCAATTTGATTTTGATTTGCATTTCTCTAATGACCAGTAATAATGAGCTTTTTTTCATTTGTTTGTTGGCCACATAAATGTCTTCTTTTGAGAAGTGTTTGTTCATATCCTTCACCCACTTTTTGATGGCGTTTTTTTTCTTGTAAACTTGTTTAAGTTCCTTATAGAAGCAGTGTCACCTATTTTTCACTGTTCTCTATTAGCTAACTGAATGATTTGCTTTGAATTCCAAAAAGTTGTTAATGAAATTCCTAGCTGGGGATTCTGGTCTTTGTTTTTCTTTTTTTAAATCCATTATTATGTTTCCTTCCTAGTTTTGCCTTCTGATGGAAATAAATGGTGAAAGTTACTTTTTACCAACATAAGACGATAAAGCTATGTCATCTTATGCAGGAAATCAGAAATTCAACCTTTCAAATTAATTGCAGTTTTTTCTACTTCACCAAGTGCCGTGACCTGAAAAATGGATGCTGTGCCTGGAACTATTAATGTGAATCTGTTGATCCTAGTCTTTCTATCAATAATCACGTCAAACTGTTCTGAGATGTAAACTCTTCTAGAGTCATACTTGGCATAATTCATCTAGATTATCTCATTTTTACAATTTTTTTATTAGCAGAAATGACAGTCCAGTTAAGAGGATTTTTAAAACAAGATATTGTTTCATAGTAAAATAATATTTCCAAACTTTGGGGCATTTTCCTACGTATTGCTAGGTCCAAGTGAAAAGTCAACACTCCGGAAGAAAATTTATCTCGCCTCTAGGAGAGAGTTTTAAATCTTGAGCCGGTATTTTATATTATTCCTTTGCTGTCTTATAAGTTAAGCATTTCAGGAAAGTAAAATGAAAAAAGAGTCTTCAGAACCCTGAGAAACTCACAGACTCTGATGGTAACTTTTAAAATGATTAATTACTTGGATTTTTCATTTCTAGTTCAATTAGGACTTCCGTTTATAAACTTCCAACCGCATTAATTTGTTGTTGTTGTGTATTGGCAATGTCTTTTCTTCTGCCACAAACATGTATGCCACAAACATACATGACCCACTCCCAAGCACCCCCTTGTAAAAGGTACTTACTTAAACCAATAAAACAATCCAGTAGGACAAAGAATTGTAGGGGACCTTTCTGAGAAGCTAAGGGTCCCAGCATTGTAAACAACATGAAATAGATCATAGAATATTGTCGAGTATCCTAAATCAAATTTATGCTGTCAATAGTTTAATTCTTTCCATCTCTGTGAGAAACTTACCATCACACTTTTGTTGACTATATAGTTTGAGTACAATTTCTCCTCTAACCACACCCCCATTAAAATGTAACACATGTCTATAGCAAGCATTAAATCAAAAGACAAAGTACAGGAAATTGTTTTCATGTGCTTCCTGTGCTTTAAAAGGATGGATAAGAGAAATCTTTGCCACTATTGCTTTCTTAAAACTTTATGGCTGAGTACAAAGAATCTTGCCTACTATTCACCCAATCTTCTTGAGAAATGATATAATCTCAATTCATTCATTCTTACTCTCATGTAAGCCATAGGATTTACATTCGGTGAATGGTATCTGAGTAGACTTTCTTACATGTTCTGAAATTGAAGAACATACATATGTATGTTCTTGCATGAATGTAATCATAACCAGAGATAAAATCTAAAATGCTTCAGCTGCCTGTACCAATTCCTCAATAAAAGTAGGAAGCTCCTTGAATAGTAACTATTCTGGAAGTGCCAAATGTCTTCTAAGAAGAAGGAGGCACATTTGCTTAAAAAAACCATCACAAATGTCTGCTTCCCAATCTCAAATGTGGTGTGTCTGATCCACTGCAATGGACAGGGCTAGGTGATTGGAAAGTGAGGACAACTCCTCAGTGTGGCCCAGCCCTGTTACTGGTGACATCAGGATCAGATTCATTGGTCTCAGGGAGACAGGACAACCTGAAACACTTAGGGACCCCTGGCTGGCAGGTCAACATCTAGTTTACCTCAAATGAAGCTCAGAGGCATTGAGTCTTGACTGATGTTTTGAAAACAGATCTACAGGTATTGCTAGTTTGGGGTTTTTGAATGCTCATTTGTAAGAAAAGTGAAATTCCCACCTAGCAAGACATTCCATGAATTGGAAAAAGAAGAACTGATTTTTTTATTATGTATATATTTTTTATTATACTTTAAGTTCTGGGATACATGTCCAGAATGTCCAGGTTTGTTACTTAGGTATACATGTGCCATGGTGGTTTGCTGCACCCATCAACCCATCATCTATATTAGGTATTTCTCCTAATGCTATTCCTCCCCTATCCCCCCAATCTCTGATAGGCCCTGGTGTGTGATGTTCCCCTTCCTGTGTCCTGTGTTCTCATTGTTCAGTTCCCACTTATGAGTAAGAACATGTGTTGTTTGGTTTACTGTTCCTGTGTTAGTTTACTGAGACTGATGGTTTCTAGCTTCATCCATATCCCTGAAAAAGACAGGAACTTATCTTTTTTATGGCTGCATAGTATTCCACAGTGTATATGTGTCACATTTTCCTTATCCAGTCTATAACTGATGGGCATTTGGGTTAGTTCCAAGTCTTTGCTATTGTGAATAGTGCTGCAACAAACATACATGTGCATGTGTCTTTATAGTAGAATGATTTATAATCATTTGGGTATATACTTAGTAATGGGATTGCTGGATCAAATGGTATTTCTGGTTCTAGATCCATGAGGAATTGCCACACTGCCTCCTACAATGGTTGAACTAATTTACACTCCCACCAACATTGGAAAAGTGTTCCTATTTCTCCACATGCTCTCCAGCATCTGTCATTTCTTGACTTTTTAATGATTGTCACTCTAACTGGTGTGAGATGTTTACTCATTTTGGCTTTGAGTTACATTTCTCTAATGACCAGTAATAATAAGCTTTTTTCATTTGTTTGTTGGCCACATAAACATCTTCTTTTGAGAAGTGTCCGTTCATATCCTTCACCCACTTTTTGATGGTGTTTTTTTTTTTTTTTTTTTTTTTTAAACTTGTTTAAGTTCCTTATAGATTTTGGATATTGGCCCTTTGTCCATTGGATAGATTGCAAAAATTTTCTTCCATTCTCTAGGTTGCCTGTTCACTCTGATGATAGTTTCTTTTGCTATGCAGAAGCTCTTTAGCTTAATTAGATCCCATTTGTCAATTTTGGCTTTTGTTGTTATCGCTTTTGTTGTTTTAGTCATGAAGTCTTTGTCCATGCCTATGTCCTAAATGATATTGCCTTGGTTTTCTTCTAGGGTTGTTATGATTTAAGGTGTTATTTAAATGTTTAAGTCTTTAATCCATCTTGAGTTAATATTTGTATAAGGTGTAAGGAAGGGGTCCAGTTTCAGCTTTCTGCATATGGTTAGCCAGTTTTCCCAATACCACTTATTAAACAGGGAATCCTTTCCCTATTGCTTTTGTTAGGTTTGTTGAAGATTAGATGGTTGTAGATGTGTGGCATTATTTCTGAGGCCTCTGTTCTGTTCCACTGGTCTATATCTCTGTTTTAGTACCAGTATTATGTTGTTTTGATTACTGTAGCCTTGTAGTATAGTTTAAAGTCAGATAGCATGATGCCCCCAGCTTTGTTCTTTTTGCTTAGGATTGTCTTGGCTGTATGGGCTCTTTTATGGTTCCATATGAAATTTAAAGTAGTTTTTTCTAATTCTGTAAAGAAAGTCAATCAAAGGATAGCATTGAATCTATAAATTAATTTGGGTAGTATGGCCATTTTCACAATATTGATTCTTCCTAACCATGAGCATGGGATATTTTTCCATTTGCTTGTGTCCTCTCTTATTTCCTTGAGCAGTGGTTTGTAGTTCAGCTTGAAGTGGTCCCTCACATCCTTTGTTAGTTGTATTCCTAGATATTTTATCCTCTTTGTAGCAATTGTGAATAGGAGTTCACTCATGGTTTGGTTCTCTGTTAGTCTATTATTGGTGCATAGGAATGCCTGTGATTTTTGCACATTGATTTTGTATCCTGAGACTTTGCTGAAGTTGCTTATTAGCTTAAGGAGATCATGGGATTTTCTAAATATACAATCATATCATCTACAAAGAAGACAATTTGATTTATTCTCTTCTTATCTGAATACCCTTTATTTTTTTCTCTTGCCTGATTGCTGTAGCCAGAACTCGCAATACCATGTTGAATAGGAGGAGTGAGAGAGGGCGTCCTTGTCTTGTGCCAGTTTTCAAAGGGAATGCTTCCAGCTTTTGCCTATTCCATATGATAATGGTTGTGGATTTGTCATAAATAACTCTTATTATTTTGAGATACGTTCCATCAATACTGTTTATTGAGTGTTTTTAGCATGAAGGAGTGTTGCACTGTATTGAAGGTCTTTTCTGCATCTATTAAAATAATCGGGCCGGGCGCGGTGGCTCAAGCCTGTAATTCCAGCACTTTGGGAGGCCGAGGCAGGTGGATCACGAGGTCAAGAGATCGAGACCATCCTGGTCAACATGGTGAAACCCCGTCTCTACTAAAAATACAAAAAATTAGCTGGGCATGGTGGCACGTGCCTGTAATCCCAGCTACTCAGGAGGCTGAGGCAGGAGAATTGCCTGAACCCAGGAGGCGGAGGTTGCGGTGAGCCAAGATCACACCATTGCACTCCAGCCTGGGTAACATGAGTGAAACTCCGTCTCAAAAAAAAAAAAAAAAAAAAAAAATCATGTAGTTTTTGTCATTGGTTCTCTTTATGTGATAGATTACATTTATTGATTTGCATATGTTGAACCAGCCTTACATCCCAGGTATAAAGCTAACTTGATCCTGGTGGATAAGCTTTTTGATGTGCGGCTGGATTCGGTTTGCATTTTATTGTAATTTTATTGAGTATTTTATTGAGGATTTTTGCATCAATGTTCATCAGGGATATTGGCTTGAAGTTTTCTTTTTTTGTTGCATCTCTGCCAGGTTTTGGTATTAGCCTAATGCTGGCTTTATGAAATGAGTTAGGGAGGATTCCCTCTTTTTCTATTGTTTGGAATAGTTTCAGGAGGAATGGTACCAGCTCATCTTTTTACCTCTGGTAGAATTCGGCTATGAATCCATCTGTTCCTGGGCTTTTTTGGTGGGTAGGCTCTTAATTATTGCCTCAGTTTCGGAACTTGTTATTGGTCTATTTAGGGATTTGGCTTCTTCTTTGTTTAGTCTTGAGATGGTGTATGTGTCCCGGAATTTATCCATTTCTTCTAGATTTTCTAGTTTATTTGCATAGAGCTGTTTATAATATTCTCTGATGGTAATTTGTATTTCTGTGGGATCAGTGGTGATCTCTCCTTTATTATTATTTATTATGTCTATTTTATTCTTATCTCTTCTCTTTTTTATTAGTATGGCTAGAGGTCTATTTATTTGTTAATCTTTTCCAAAAAAAAAAAAAACAGCTCCCGGATTCATTGATTTTCTGAAGGATTTCTCGTGTCTCTATCTCCTTCAGTTCTGCTCTGATCTTAGTTATTTCTTGTTTTCTTCTAGCTTTTGAATTTGTTTGCTCTTGCTTCTCTAATTCTTTTAATTGTGATGTTAGGCTGTCGATTTTAGATCTTTCCCACTTTCTCCTGTGGGCATTTAGTGCTCTAAATTTCCCTCTAGACACTGTGTTAGCTGTATACCAGAGATTCTGGTATGTTATATCTTTGTTCTCATTGGTTTCAAAGAAGTTACTTATTTTTGGCTTAACATCAATATTTACCCAGTAGTCATTCAGGAGCAGGTTGTTCAGTATCCACATAGTTCCATGGATTTGAGTGAGTTTCTTAATCCTGAGCTCTAATTTGATTGTGCTGTGGTCTGAGAGACTGTTTGTTATGATTTCCATTATTTTGCATTTGCTGAGGAGTGTTTTACTTCCAATTATGTGGTCAATTTTAGAATAAGTGAGATGTGGTGCTGAGAAAAATGTATATTCTATTGATTTGGGGTGGAGAGTTCTGTAAATTTCTATTAGGTCTGCTTGGTCCAGAGCTGAGTGCAAGCCCTGAATATCCTTGTTAAGTTTCTGTCTTGTTGATATGTCTAATATTAACAGTGGGGTGTTAAAGTCTCCCACTATTATTGTGTGGCAATAAGTCTCTTTGTAGGTCTCTAAGAACTTGCTTTATGAATCTGGGTGCTCCTGTATTGGGTGTATATATATTTAGGATAGTTAGCTCTTGTTGCATTGATCTCTTTACCATTATGTAATACCCTTCTTTGTCTTTTTTGATTTTTGTTGGTTTAAAGTCTGTTTTATCAGAGACTAGAATTGTAACCCCTGCTTTTTTTGCTTTCTATTTGCTTGGTCAATATTCCTCCATCCCTTTATTTTGAGCCTATGTGTGTCTTTGAACATGAGATGGGTCTCCTGAATACAGCACGATGATGTGTCTTGACCCTTTATCCAATTTGCCAGTCTGTGTCTTTTAATTGATTTATTTAGCCCTTTTACATTTATTGTTAATACTGTTCTATGTGAATTTGATCCTGCCATTTTGATGCTAGCTGGTTATTTTGCCTGTTAATTGATGTGATTTCTTGATAGTGTTGATGGTCTTTACAATTTGGTATGTTTTTACAGTGGTACAAGTTTTCCCTTTCCATATTTAGTGCTTCCTTCAGGAGCTCTTGTAAGGCAGGCATGGTAGTGACAAAATCTCTCAACATTTGCTTGTCTGTAAAGGATTTTATTTCTCCTTCACTTATGAAGCTTAGTTTGGCTGGATATGAAAATCTGGGTTGAAACTTCTTTTCTTTAAGAATGTTCAGTATTGACCCTCCACCCCGCCTTCTGGCTTGTAGTGTTTCTGCTGAGAAATCTGCTGTTAGTCTGATGGGCTTCCCTTTGTGGGTAACCCAACCTTTCTCTTTGGCTGCCCTTAACATTTTTTTCCTTCATTTCAACCTTGGTGAATCTGATGATTATGTGTCTTAGGGTTGCTCTTCTTGAGGAGTATCTTTGTGGTGTTCTCTGTATTTTCTGAGTTTCAATCTTGGCCTGTCTTGCTAGGCTGGGTAAGTTCTCCTTGATAGTATCCTGAGAGTGTTTCCCAATTTGGTTTCATTTTCCCTGTCACCTTCAGTTACACCAATCAAATGTAGGTTTTGTCTCTTCATATAATCCCATATTTATTGGAGATTTTGTTCGTTCCTTTTCATTCTTTTTTCTCTAATCTTGTCTTCTCACTTTATTTTGTTAAGTTGACCGCTAATCTCTGATATCCTTTCCTCTGCTTGATCAATTCAGCTATTGATACTTCTGAAGCTTCATGAAGTTCTTGGACTGTGATTTTCAGCTCCATCAGGTCATTTATATTCTTCTCTAAACTGGTTATTCTGGTTAACAGTTCTTCTAACATTTTATCAAGGTTCTGAGTTTCCTTGCATTGGGTTAGAACATATTCCTTTAGCTCAGAGGAATTTGTTATCATCCACCCTTTGAAGCCTACTTCTGTCAATTCATCAAACTCATTCCCCATCCAGTTTTGTTCCCTTCCTGGTGAGGAGTTGT